ATATGTTGGTTATTGCTATGATATCACTGTATGTTAGTTATTGCTATGATATTACTGTGGATGATAAAGAGTGTAAGAGACCACTTATTTGGGAAAATAGTGTCCTTGTTAGTGGGAACATTAAGCTGTTAAGTAATTTGTGCTGTTTCATTTCTTTGGTAGTTTTCAATGATGGAGCCAAGAAGCCACTGTTGAGTCTTGAAGGTACAATACCAGTACAATATAAAGGTAACACAACATGTCTTCTCAAGTGCAACAATGTGAAACACTCATTTTGTTTTACATGGTATCATTTGTTGTCAATGTGTAATTTATTTAGACAAACTGTCTACCCACATTTGCTTCAGCATATCTTTGGAATTTAACAATTGGAGTGTTCATGGAGATTTAACCTATTAAAATAAGAACAAAAAAATTATGTTTTTTTTAATTGTTATGTAATTATTGATCTCAACATGAGTCATCAACTTTGGGATTTTTATTATGGACATTTGTTCTAGTAAAAAACTCACAAAATTGGTGTTTTTGAAATCCATGCTAAAACGCAAAAAAATACTCTAGAGTTGTGTATTAGAACTTCATGCTCAAACTTGTAATGTTTATTTACAATCAGAAAACCATGCAAACCATGAATAAAAGTCAGTGCCTAATGAAGTCATTCTAACTCAACAGTATTCTTAGTTATTTTATAATTCAAGGTGACAGTTTTTTTATCAGATTTATCACATATTTAGATTCTTGTATTCCACATTGTTTCTGCTCGGTACATACCCCATAAACCATGCATGCAATGCCTAAACATTTCCCTGTTTGTACCAATATTCATTGGATTTCTTATTTCTTAAACCTGATCTACAAAAATATTAATAATGCATACATTGATTGAGTAGTGATCTGACAAAGTTATTGATTTATTTATTTATTTATCAGGTGCAACATACAATATTCCAATATGTATTTGGCTAATGGACACTCATCCATATAATGCTCCAATGTGTTTTGTGAAACCAACACATGATATGCTGGTGAAACCTTCTCGAAATGTGGATGCCAATGGCCGGATCTATTTACCCTACCTCCATGAATGGAGACATGTAAGTTGTAACATCACATACAACTCCTTGAACACATCAAAACACATAGAACACATCAAAATTTATTTAACTCATCAAACTTTGAAATATAAAAACTCACCAGTATTGTGTTGCCATAGGATGCATTGTCTTAGCACAGATCTGTTTAATACAAATAATAATAAATAATAATAATAAACAGTTTTTCACAACTCATAAAATACAATGCAATTGTTGATACATAACAAAGTCATCATGAAAGTCATTCGTCAGTTAACAATGAAAATGGGAGAAAAATCAGTTTGTGAATATCCAATATTGCAGGTTATCGTTATTGATGACAGTTATTATTCAGAAATGAGATTGGATTTATATTTGGATTTAAACATGTTAATATTATTAATACTTTTCAAGTCACAGCTCAGTTGATTCCATAGTTTTATTCCTTCTTGCTTTGTCAATTTCTGAATTAATGAAGTTCTTGCACTATCAACATGGAAATTGTTTTTGTATCGTGTATCATAATTATGGATTTCTTTATTTTTAATGAAAATTTGACTTTCAACTCTGAACATAAACACCTGTTTTACACCTGGTGTTTATTCACACAACTTGATACTTCTTTTTACAACTTTTTAATCACATATTTCAGTGAAATACTGTTGAGTGATTAATATTAATGTTACACACAATTAAATCTGTGCTACCACGCATGGAATTTGTAGTGTTAACTGAATGCGAATAATGCAGTTTTCGAATCAGTTTATTAATTTAGGTCTGTGCATCTGGATCTATTTCTCAGACATGCTTTGACCGATACCCCAAATGTGAAAGTGTGTAATAAAACAATAGGTCAATGATATGATATAATCTCTTCATTTTATTTGATTTCATTAAATTGTTTATTTCATTGCAGCCAGCATCTGATTTGATTAGTTTAGTACAAGTTTTGTGTGTTGTTTTTGGTGAGAACTCTCCTGTTTATTCAAAGTCTGCGGCTCCAGCCAGACCTGCTTATCCTCCAGGACAGTCTCCAAGTAGTGGTGGTGCTTTGCCATACCCACCAACTAGTAAGTGTTACGCTATGATCATTACATGATATAGGAGTGGAAATGGTGCTTGCTGTGTATAACTGTCTTCATTAGGGACGACGTCAAAAGATCGATGTCGGATAAAATACTTATTTCCTTTAGTTTTGGGGTGGGGGGTTTTGACCTCAAAAAGTTTCCATCCTACAAAACGATTTTATTTTTTAATGAAGTCA